ACACAGAACATGTTATAGAAATGGGAGAGTCTGTTGGATTTTAGAAAATGTGAATTTCATCAGATCTACTTTTATCCTGAAACTCTATTGCGCATTTCATCGCCCTTGCTCGAGATGCTCAGCATATAGCTTACGTGTACTGTTTCTGCATGCGTGTGTAAAATACGTAATTATAGTTTCGTATGCGAGCGTATAATTGCGCTTAGAGTATCAACAGTGATAAAAAAAAACCTCTGACATATATAGTCCAAAGTACTAGTCTAATTACAGCCTATACTTTATACATATATATACTGTATCGACTTACGTGTTAAATCGCGAATGGAATCGATCATCGATTCCAGATATCTCAGGAATATATTTGGCCACAATAAACCAAGGAACAGCATTGGATGTAATTACTTAAAAATACATTAATCGCAAAAATTTGAGTTTGCAAACAAGAAATGAGTAGCTAAAATAAGTAACAAAACGTCTCATCTATGACCCCCTTCTATCTGATTGACTGCCCCCTTAGCTGTTGTGAAGACGCGAATCCCCTAAACAACCTGTCATCTACTCCCTAGTGGAGATTCGAAATAATCCTTGTAATCCGTGAAAGTGAGCTGGACACGGTCATTGTCGGTCGTGGTCAGATTATAACACCCACTCTTGACCATCCCAGTCTTAAATAACAGATTCAGTGACCATACCGTGGTCATTTTTCATCTAAAGGCTGCTCCAGTATAGGAAAGAGGAGTTATATCTTGTCCTGACCACTGTGTACCGGTCCATCGTGTGATTGTGTAGGACTGTGTGTGTGACTTTCCTATCTTAAGGGTCGTAATTACATCTAGTATTATACCACTTTATCGTCCGTTTGGTAGTGAAATGTCCGAACATAATATAACAAGTGTATTCACCATTTATCATCGGTACAATGTGTAAATATACACTCCCTAACAATACTCACTGCTTTATTCCCAATTATTTTATAAATGCATCGTTGATATTTATCAAACAGTGGAGTTCACATCGGGACCTAGATGTAAATAGCCTTGCTCAAGTCCGCTTACTTTCAAAGTATTCGAATACAACAATTGACTCGACAGAATGAGAAATGTATCAATACAAGTATTTATATTTAAACAATAATTTCTTATGCGATACATTTTATGACGTATGGATCATATATGCAAAGATAACGTAATTTGGATTTGGCAGCAAGATATATAATCATTTACCTCAGATCATATTACATCGCTATGCGATGATATTTCATGTAAATAATTGAGTTTGAATGTCACCTGTCTCATTAATAACCTGCGGTGATCATACATACAGCGGGTAGATACATAATTAGACCGAATATCTATCACCAAGTGACCTAATATTGATAAAATGTTGTCGGAATCCAATGAAAACATATAGGTTTTTTTTTATTTACATAATAATCGTTATCCCATAACATTATGTGGTATGGTACACCTCTCGGCTAAATGTCTTATTTTGCGGCGTAATATTAACGTATCCTTATAAATATTTACTTGAAGAGATCTCCCCGTCAATCAGGAAGTGACAAATGTTTGGAATATTTTTGGAATAGGGTCGGTGCTTCTAACGTATATCGACCAATGATGACGTCCTAGTGTACGATATTGACAGTTGTTTGCTGCGAATAAAACCCCAAGGGGTTCGAATTACACATCAGACGGGGTCGTTACTAGGACGGTGTGGTATAAAACACAAGGCAGACAAACTTCCGTGTAGCTAATATGTTTAAATAGACTGGAATATAAATAACAGTTCTAATGAGGTCAGGTAGGTGATGGAAAATGTACAGAAATGATAGTTGTGATTGGCATTCAAAAGTCTTCAATTTATACAGAAATTCAAACTACATGGTCGAAAATATAAAAAAGGTGCTATATAATAGCCTATAAAACGAAAGACACCAGAGGAAAATTTCAACATTTCCCATGTTATAGCAACATGTTTTAGAATATCAATATGAAGAGAAGCATAACGATCATAGAGTTATAAAAGTATGTCTTCAAAAATAAAACATTTTATAAAATATGGCATACATTCGTATACTTGGCGTTACTTGGGAAGATATCAAGCGGCACTTAATTGTCAATTGCATAATAAAGTTTTCTTGTGACATTTGGAAATTATATAGAATATAGTATAGATATCTATCAGTTCGAAGGAAATATGAATTAAAGGTTTGAAAATACAGGCAGAATAAAATGTCACAGACGGAGAGGGGTAAACGTTTTTTTCATAAGGGAAAATAGAATATGTCCTCTCTGTAACATCGATGTTGGCGACGAATTCCATTATTTATTTATCTGTAATAACAGTCAGATCACGGAACTGAGGCAAAAATATATACCTAAGTATTACTATAATTATCCGACGACCGTGAAAATAAAAGGAATGTTTCAAATATGCAACACTGTTCTCATTAAAAAAGTTTGTAGATTTCTAGAAACAACATTGAAAATATTAATTATGCTGTAAACCCTGTTATATCATATGTTATACAGAATAAGATGTTTTTATTTGTATAAATGTGACCTCTTGTACCACACTAAAGTGTGGCTGAGTGAAATAAAAACTTGTGAAAACTTATAAAAATCATAACCTGGAGGGGGAAACCCGTACGCAAGTTAACTCTATATATTTAAAACATATATTTGAAAGCGATAAAACGTTCAAATCACCAATACGTGCCAATACGTGACAATACAAAATACAATAGTTTACATTGCCGTAAGGACTTGAGCAAGTCTAGCTATTCATGACAAAACAGTAGAGGAGAGTTACCAAACTTTATTGGAATTAAACGTTGGGAAGTCTATTTTCAGCCATTCAATGAACTTTTTAATTTTCTTTTGTAAAAATAATTATATTTTATACAGTTTAGTTAACTATCGTTAATTTTTGTATCATTGTATCCTTTTAATGGCGTGATAATTTGTGCCGTAAAAAAATCACAAGATTAATATTGAGTCAAGAAAATTACGAAATATCTAGACAAAGGAAACAAAATCCTATATTTCCAATCACGATCTACAAAGTGACCCCGAGTTTACGTTGAGGATCACGTATCTATACAGTACTTAGTCGGTGTCCTGGGACTTCATTTGAATAGAGCTAATCTATTTTTACCTGACCTACTTACGTCGATCCAGGTAAGGAAAAAATGCTCCGGGATATACGCTATTTAGCCGAGTAAGGTATAAAATCTAGGCCAGTCAAGCACTATATTGTCGTAAAAGTAAAGTTCCTCGGCGTAACTCCAACTTTAGAAACGTATATATATTTACAAAATACAAATACTTATCATAGCAGTAAAAGCAAAGATTTATAATCGCGACAGTAAGGATTAAATTATTTATCAATTTCTCGAGATAACCGTTTTTTTTCTTCAAGACACAAACAATTATTACAATTATTTGATTTATAAACATATTTTTATTTGCATCTGTTATACAAAAGGGTTTGGGCACACGTTGTCCAACTTATATAAAGCCTTTCCCCAATTATAACATTACAACTACAACCACGAAATTATGTTATCTAAGTCCGTGCTACAACACAACACAAAATTACAAGACGAAGTACAGTAATATATACAGTAGGGCTAAGTCGAGTGTTTTTTGACAGAAGTTCTACATTACGTACACCAGTACTACACATGCACAGTACAGTAAGGTCACACATTTACATAGATATTTAGAATATAAAGTATATTTTCTCGGTGAAAATTCTTCATACCGATACATCAGATCGAATTTCCCCTAACCATACACTTTGAGACTTCTATACATACACTGTATATTATAGTCTACGTATTGGTTATATCATATCAGGTATGACAATCAATATCATATCAGGTATGACAATCAAACCTTCGTAACGCAGTATGTTATAAAGAGAATCAGAATATATATCATAAACAGTATAACTATACGTCTTATTTACTTTTTTTTTAATTCAACATAATAAATCCATAAAAGGATTTAGTATGAGCGCCGTAAAAGTTCCGCCGCCAAAGCAGACCTCATTTACATGCTGAATAGGTCACCAGGTAATGTGTATTCAGGTCACCGATCTCCTAGCCAAACTTAGAGAGTTCCCCCAAAATATTAGTCATCGTTTAAAACCTTAAATAGTACATTCCTTAAACGAACACGCTTCTTCTATGGTGAATTCTATATTTTGACTTGTTTATCTGGCTACGGCTGAATACACACATATACGTATGGGGCATTGTTAGGCCATGTGCGTAAACAACTTAATAAACATTAGCATTGACGTCACTCGCCGTCAAGGAGATTCCTTATTTGGATGTGTCACGTGATAGTTTCCGAATGAATTTCTTCTAGGAACTCCTCTAGAGTTGGCATTGCTATACACACATTTCGAATCCGAAGATAGAATATGATGTCACTTGGCTAAAAATAGTGGAGTGAGTCATACCTAGCCCTCGATCATTGAATCACCATGTATATAAGTTGTAGTGGGTATATTCCAGCTAACATTCTTTGAACCACGAGTGACTCATACTAGGGAAGCCTATGTCCCAGACCTCCGGAAACCAACAATAGACTCACTGTACACCTACGGTCTAGAAAAAGTGACTGTCAGCCCAACTATTTGACAGGTGACTCTACGTGAACGATACAATTGCTGGAGTTTTTAACAGAATGTTTGAAAAGGGAGAAAATTACAGCGAGGAATCAAAATACGTGGCGGACATTTTGTCGTCCATGGCCAGTGCTGCGTCGGTTAATAGCTCAGTAAGTTATTATCGTCAGATCTGCTTTTAATATTTTCTATTTTGCTAGTTTTAGCTTTTATGCTTTTTTCTTTATTTCGTTGTCAATAAAACAGTTTTCATTAATGTTGCTTTATTGACATAATTTTGGTTTTCCTTGTTTAAAAAACCCACATGACCTATTTATACACCAAGCACATATGAATAAAGCCGGTGGGGCCAGGCTAACAAAGACAGATTGCTTGAACAGCCAACCAGAACGAACAGGGGTCGTGACCTCTGACGCATGCGCAGAGTATCGAAATACATGTGACATGAGGCATACATATACAAGTGTTAACTTATATCCATATCATTTTGTCACTGCATTTGTGTGTGAATGAATGTGTTTAGGTGATAACAGTATTTTCCTGGATTATACAAAGGTCACGACAGGTCGACCGAGCTGTTTGGATTTAGTTATATAGTGTATGGATAAACAGTGCAACATGTGGCATTATAACCATAATTCGTATTATAACAGAAATCCTCACCATCAAATGCATCATCCATATCATGCTCATAATCACAGACCGTCGCCGGTATGTACTTGTGTGACAATGTCACCAAATCGTGTACTTAGTCAAGTAGAAGTATTTTTACTAAAGACCCAACTGTATTTCACAGTGTACGCTCATTGGAAAACTTTACAAACTTTTCAAAAGTTACAAACAGAGGAGGACCACTATTATTAAGAATAGTTATATATTTATATATAATGTGTGCTTACCAAAATTTGTTTGTTATTGGACATAAACATAATTAAATGCATTTGAAAATACTTTTTATCCATTTCATTTTAAAATTGATTGAATTCAAATTTCACGATTTTGCAGGAAAACCCCCCAGTAGATTGACATTACCATTCCATTAAAGGGAACAACTTTACCACACTTAAATAGTTGATAGATGATCTTTTATATGACTGCTAAATGTTGAATCCTATAGATGTTTTGAGAAAGGGCGAAAACATTTTTAATATTACTTGTTAAATTGTTTAATGATATAATTTAATATGTGTATTAATGTGTCATTACGTTTTGTGTTTTGTAGTACTCCCTGCCGTCAAACTCATTCGTAAGTGGAATCACATCTATGCCTAGCCTTACCCCTACCACACTGGCCAACATTGAGCGCACGTTCATCGAGCTACAGGCCGTGCCAGCGGTCAATACTTCCCAGGGCCAGGACCCCCACACCCAAAGTGGATTCGTTCCTCCCATCGTTGACCCCGTTGTGACGTCAGAGCGGTCAAACGACGCCTACGGAGACTTCGGTGACAGTTCAGCCTCCGACCCTGAGTGGGTTCCAGTCAAGCAATCAAGGATCGAATTGGCCGACGGATCAAGTGCCAGCAAGATCAGTGATCCAATGTACCCCCAGGTCGCTACCTCCGCCCCCCCGGGCCGCAAAAGGCGTGGGGCAAGGGACGTCAAAGTAAGTTTAAAAGTGTTTAATTCTTTTTACGACACAACCGCAAACCCATATGAAAACCTGTGCTTGTATTATTAATTGTTCCAGGTGTCCTGTAGCCCCAGGTAGACTATATTACGGCCACAATAAAAATAATGATAACATATATTTTTCCTTTCCGGTGATAACTTTAAAGTGTTTAAATCTGACAAGCGATATAAAGACAGTGTGCAACCGAGCGTGTGCACAGATCTGTATAATGGAAGGGAGTAGATAACACTGGGGGCTAACCCGGCAGACACCTAAACAGAGACGTGATCAATGAATATAGGGCACTAAAGTATAAAATGGATAAAACGTGTTTAAAATAAAACCTTTGGGCAGAAATAGAAATGGTAATCCCATCACCATACTTGTACCCATCCATCACAGAATAGCCAGGGGTCTCGGCCTTAGTACGCTATCCTGTCCAAACTGCCGCTCGGTAATTGATATCTCCATATGACGTATGAGAAAATGACCCTTCAGAAATGTATTTAATATATAGGTTTTTGATCGATTGACAGTTATCCTTGCATTTCTGAAATATTTTCTTTAGTATTTTATGAATGTGTGTATATATACATACCCATTACATGCCATGTGTTTCTCGTGACGTCCTGTTGCAAATATGTAGATTTTCATGTTTCCTTTATTTGTATTTTCCAGCTTTCCCCTGAAGAGGACGAAAGACGGCGTGTACGACGGGAGAGAAATAAAGTTGCCGCCGCCAAATGTCGTCAGAGACGAGTCGACCATACAAACCGACTGACAGGGGTGAGTTACAGCTCTGTGATACTCCTATATAAAAATAAGTAAATATAAACTATGTTTATTGAGATTTATCTGAAAAATATTGATGGAACTTTGATTATCTATAAAAAAAAACTGATTGTTGCTTGTTTATTTCGTCAGTAATTCAGTGTTTTTGGTAAAATGGTCACATGTTAAAACATTCTCTTCTGAACACAACAATAGTTCAGGCAGTTCATAATGAGTTTAATTTAATTTGAATTTTACATCTGTTTGAATCCATAGTTAACCAAAGACATTTTTGTTTTCCAGGAAACCGACATATTAGAAAACGAAAGAGACGATCTTGAGACACAAATTCAACAACTTCAGCAGCAGAAAGACCAACTCGAGTTTATACTGCAGGCCCACCAGCCTCTTTGCAAACTTGACGAAGGATGTCAACAGAAAAACCAACCGGCAGCAGCGCCACCAAACACTATGTCATCAAAAGTAAAGGTTAAAATGGAACCTGGAATCGAGAGATCCACTACCTGCCCCATGGGCAAGGGTACCACGACAAGCACCAGCGGCATTAGACCAAGCTCCCTAAACATCGTCAAGTCCGAGAGCCGTAAGAAAGTTTCTGTCACAAGTGCAACCGGAATTCCTATTACTACGCCCTCTAACGGGTTTTACTTCGCCATGGATAGCATGGTCGACCATACCGGGTTAACCCCCATCACTAACGGACCAACGCCCAGTTGTGGTACCGAGGCCAACAGAACTGCAAGTGAAAGTAGCTCGGAGAACGTAAACTCACCTACTCTTATTTCCCTCTAGATCAGGCTGTAGGCTCTATAGATCAAGCTGTAGGCTCTAGATCTGCTTCGTAGGAACCCGAGATGGTACACTGAAACAATACAGACAGAACCCAGTTCTTGATGTCATATGTTATTTATGAACATTTTCATAAAACTCAAGAACTTTTATCAATTAAATGCTCTCGATGTTTTTCACTTGGTGTTTGACGTGCTTATGTGCTGCTGGACGGTTTGATTTTGAGTACACAAACAATTTATTTCAGTTTTAATGTATTTATTTGACATTCGGGAGAATGTGTGAAGGTTTTCCTCTGCCAGTATTATTTTTATTGAATGTTGTTGTAAAGTTGTATGTGATCGTCCTTGTGTCGTACTATTATGAATGGATTTTAGGCATAGGTGGCGCCTTAATCGTAACTAGTAATCTTGGTATCCTTAATGTTTGAAGCTATTTGACATTTGCAAGCTTGAGCCAATAGTAACCACGTAGTGACATGTTTTGTTAAAGTTTTTTAAACGTGTTCATTTTTTCAGCTAAATGAAGCCTTATCCTTGTCAGTACTGTTGTTTTTTGTTTAAAGTGTTGATAATTTTAAAACTAATTTAGCTGAATCAGTCTAGTTAGTTAGTACGTGCGGGTCACGTGACCGAGGAATAAAATGTGTATATTTGTGTGTGCTGATATTATGAAAGTGTAAATGTGGCCTATACAATACCTGTCACGTGGGTAGAGGTCGGCAACTGGATGTTATAATTTGGACACATATTTTCTACATTATTTATACATTCTAAAGCATTTCAAACTTTTACGTTTTTGAATTTGCTTGGAATGATTTCAATTAAACCCAATAACGTAAAATTTCAAGTTATTTTACAATCTGTTAAAAGCTGTATAGGTTATAAATCTCAAATATTGCAGTGTCATGTTGAAGTTACAAAATCCTTGGCAATAACTAAGTATGAACAACCTCTACCCATGTGACTGTGTACAATACATGCAATGCAAATAAAATAATTATGAAATTGTTACAAATATGGCATCAATATTACTGCTTCCAATTTTTTCATGTTGTCCAATTTATGAATTTTTGTACTGACATTTTATAGCAAAATAAAAAATGTAGAAACTAAATGCACAAGTTTATTGGTATTTTCTGCAGGTAAATATTAGACTGATATGCATGTCCGATCAGGATGGCCATGGCGGCGTTGCTGTCTTTTCAGATATTAGGGTTAAGTCTTCTAAGGAAGTATATCAGTTTTATACAGCATAGTTCAGTTCAGCCTTTCACTGATTAAAATTATGCCAGTTTAGGGAAGATAATGTTTTTCCCACAAGCAGACATCTGATCACCAAAGATCATGGTGAAGCAAACTAATAATCCCGTGTACGACGTTGTTATCACCGACTTGTTATTTTATAGATACATAGTGTAGACAAGGACTGGTTATTGTATACATACAGTGGTGTTATCATTGACTGTTATTGTATATAGACATTGTATAGACAAGGACTGGTTATTGTATACATACAGTGGTGTTATCGCTGACTGTTATTGTATAGAAACAGTGTAGACAAGGACTGGTTATTGCATACATACAGTGGTGTTATCACTGACTGTTATTGTATATATACAGCGGTATTATCACTGACTGTTATTGTATAGAAACATAGTGTAGACAAGGACTGGTTATCGTATACATACAGTGGTGTAATCACTGACTGTTATTGTATACATACAGTGGTTTTATCACTGACTGTTATGGTATAGAAACAGTGTAGACAAGGACTGGTTATTGTATACATACAGTGGTGTTATCATTGACTGTTATTGTATATAGACATTGTATAGACAAGGACTGGTTATTGTATACATACAGTGGTGTTATCACTGACTGTTATTGTATACATACAGTGGTGTTGTCACTGACTGTTATTGTATATATACAGTGGCATTATCACTGACTGTTATTGTATAGAAACGTAGTGTAGACAAGGACTGGTTATTGCATACATACAGTGGTGTTATCACTGACTGGTATTGTATATATACAGTGGTATTATCACTGACTGTTATTGTATAGAAACATAGTGTAGACAAGGACTGGTTATTAAATACATACAGTGATGTTATCACTGACTGTTATTTTATTGAAACATTGTATGGACAAGGACTGGTTATTGTATACATACATAGGTGTTATCACTGACTGTTATTGTATACAAACATAGTGTAGACAAGGACTGGTTATCGTATACATACAGTGGTGTAATCACTGACTGTTATTGTATACATACAGTGGTGTTGTCACTGACTGTTATTGTATACATACAGTGGTGTTGTCACTGACTGTTATTGTATATATACAGAGGTGTTATCACTGACTGTTATTGTAGAGAAACAGTGAGACAAGGAGTGGCTATTGTATACATACAGTTGTGTTATCATTGACTGTTATCGTATAGAAACAGTGTAAACAAAGACTGGTTATTGTATATATACAGTAGTGTTATCACTGACTGTTATTGTATACATACAGTGGTGTTATCATTGACTGTTATCGTATAGAAACAGTGTAGACAAAGACTGGTTATTGTATATATACAGTAGTGTTATCACTGACTGTTATTGTATACATACAGTGGTTTTATCACTGCCTTTTATTGTATAGAAACAGTGTAGACAAGAACTGGTTATTGTATACATACAGTGGTGTTATCACTGACTGTTATTGTATACATACAGTGGTGTTATCACTGACTGTTATTGTATAGAAACATAGTGTAGACAAGGACTGGTTATTGTATACATACAGAGGTGTTATGTGGTGTCCATCGTCTGTCCGTCGTCCGGTGTTGTCCGTCAACTTTTCCTTTAAACAATTTCTTCTGAAGAACGAACAGACCTAGAGTTATGATATTTGGCTGAAAGCTTGGTTGGTAGGTGCCTGACAAAGTTTGAGAATCAAAATGACCTTGACCTACTTTCAAGGTCAAAGATGTTAAATATGACAAACACTTCAAACGACTTCTTCTGAAGAACTGAAAGGTATAGATATTCATATTTGGCTGGTAACGTCCTTGGATAGAGCCCGACAAAGTTTGAGAATGAAAATGACATTGACTTACTTTTAACGTCACAGCGGTCAAATATGTGAAGCGCTTCAAACGACTTCTCCTTAAAAACTAAAAGGTATAAAATCTTCATATTTGGTTGGTGATTTCCTGGGATAGAGCCCGACAAAGTTTGAGAATGAAAATAACCTTGACCTACTTCCAAGGTATCAGGAATCAAATGTTTCAAACACTTCAAATGAGTTCTTCTGAAGAACTGAAAGATATAGAATCTTCATAGTTGGCTGGTGGTTTCCTGGGATAGAGCCCGACAAAGTTTGAGAATGAAAACGACCTTGACCTACTTCCAAGGTCTCAGGTATCAAATGTGTCAAACGCTTCAAATTACTTCTTGTGAAGAACTGAAAGGTAAATAATCTTCATATTTGGCTGTTGGCTTCCTGTGATAGAGCCCGACAAAGAGTAAAAACATAAAATGTCCTTGACCTACTTAAAAGGTCGCAGGGGTCAAATATGTCAAACAATTAAACGACTTCTTACGAATAATCTTAGAGCAAAGTTTTATCATATTTAGCTGGTAGCTTCCTGGGATGGCGCCTGACAAAGAGTGAAAATGAAAATAACCTAGTTCTTAAAAGGTCACAGGGGTCAAATATGTCAAACAACTTCTTAAGAAGAACCAAAAAGCATAGAATCATATTATAATATCTGGGTGGTAGTTTCAACAGATGGAGAAAACAAAGTTTGCGAGTGAAATATTTGTAGTACAGGATAATATTTAATGAGAATATTTTGCTGATGACTGCTTAAATATTCAGGTGAGTGATACAGGCCCTCTGGGCCTCTTGTTGTATAGAAACATAGTGTAGACATGGACTGGTTATTGTATACATACAGTGATGTTATTGCGGATCCATTACAATTCACAGGGAATGTATTATAATTATGCATATTAAAATGACACTAGAAAGAGGAAAGTGCCACTTCCGGTACTGTCCTCGGCCGATCATGCTTCCGACTATATACATGTACATTCCAAGCCGGAAGCTCGACTTGGGACGGTGACCTCTTACTGGGTTCGGACTAAAGTCGATGGTTCGGCCTTTATCCTACTCAACATCGTTAAACGATCTTGACCTATTGCCGGAATTAAATGTGGTCAGCACGTCGTTTCATGGATGTGTTAAGAAATTGAACGTACTACTACCTCGGTTTTTCGTTTCGAGAACAGTATTGTTCAGATATGATACTGCACAAATAAAATAGATAATAAATCAATTGAAAGGCAGCATAAACAAGTTGTTGTAAATTAAATATGTATTGACCATCCTTTCAAAGTTACACTATCTGTCGGTAAACGATCCAAAATGAAGACAACTTGTTTTTAACGCAGCGTCTGTTTTAGACGACTTCTCCTGCAGATACCTAAGCATTGTGCTTTCAGACGTTATATAGGCCGTTTTCAGACGTAATATAGGACTGGTTATTGTATACAGGGGTAATATAGGCCGCTTTCAGGGGTAATATAGACCGCTTTTAGGGGTAATATAGACCGCTTTTAGGGGTAATATAGACCGCTTTCAAGGGTCATATAGGCCGCTTTCAGGGGTAATATAGGCCGCTTTCAGACGTAATATAGGCCGCTTTCAAGGGTCATATAGGCCGCTTTCAGACGTAATATAGGACTGGTTATTGTATACAGGGGTAATATAGGCCGATTTCAGGGGTAATATAGACCGCTTTTAGGGGTAATATAGACCGCTTTTAGGGGTAATATAGACCGCTTTCAAGGGTCATATAGGCCGCTTTCAGGGGTAATATAGGCCGCTTTCAGACGTAATATAGGATGCTTTCAGACGTAATATAAGCCGCTTTCAGACGTTATATAGGCCGTTTTCAGGGGTAATATAGGCCGCTTTCAGGGGTAATACAGGCCACTTTCAGACGTAATATAAGCCGCTTTCAGACGTTATATAGGCCGTTTTCAGGGGTAATATAGGCCGCTTTCAGGGGTAATACAGGTCACTTTCAGACGTAATATAAGCCGCTTTCAGACGTTATATAGGCCGTTTTCATACGTAATATAGGCCGCTTTCAGGGGTAATATAGGATGCTTCCAGATGTAATATAGGCCGCTTTCAGGGGTAATATAGGCCGCTTTCAGACGTAATACAGGCCACTTTCAGACGTAATATAGGCCGCTTTCAGACGTAATATAGGCCGCTTTCAGACGTAATATAGGCCGTTTTCAGGGGTAATACAGGCCACTTTCAGGGGTAATATAGGCCGCTTTCAGACGTAATATAAGCCGCCTTCAGACGTTATATAGGATGCTTTCAGACGTTATATAGGCCTCTTTCAGATGTAATATAGACCGCTTTCAGACGTTATATAGGACGCTTCAGACGTTATAAAGGCCGCTAGGATATGGACAACTGGGCGATATTAACACCTGAGAGATCACGTCACCACGTCATTTACTAGCGGCCATTGGTTTGTGATGAGGGGTCGTTAGCTACCAGCGTATTCAGACAAGTTCCTGTATAGTGTTATTCTCATGTTAATGGCTTTGTACCTTATAAGATGATACGAAAATCATTTTTGAGCTCGTAAATTTAATAATTTCACAAATTGAAATGTGGAAATCAAGATCAAAATAGTGATAAAGAGAATATTAATATTAAATTAAATAATTGATTAAACTCTGATTTTGAAAGTTATATTTTATGAATAATCACATAAGGTGAATTCTTGAGACTGTCAAATACTGACACACTTAACTTATTTTATTGATTATTAACATAAATGTGTAGAAAAATAGGGGCTGAAATTAAACGAATATTTATCACAAGATCTTTTGATGATCATTTGAATCTTCTGCAGGTTGGCAAGTCACTGGGTGTGTTTAATTTATTGTAAGGAACTACATCATTTAGGTGATTGTACAAGCGTTATTACATTTAGCTCCGATCGATGTTCACAAAAACCCGTGATTAACTAGATATAGCACCAATGGTATAAAATAACATTTTTATAATTTTGAATATTATTTAGAA